GGTGTGGTAGGAGACAAACACGAAAACCATGATACAGGGACAATGGAATGATGAGCATCAGGAAAAGATTTGCTTGCTCAATGTGCCTAAGATACACAGAGTACAATTTCTGATCACGGACAACTCATCAAAACCCATTCAGCTCCTGTGGCGAGGGGATGAGAGAGCACCTTACCTCATGCTAAGGTAAGTAATGCTAGTGCTTGAATTGCAAAAGAAGTTTCTTCAGCAGTTTACGTTTGCTAGGGTAATAGCTTATTTAATTTGGGGCACAAAAAAATCTTTAAGTGTCTAATAAAAGTTGAATTACTTCTCAGACAAATTAAGATACCCAGAACATTATTATTATTATTATAAAGATTTCTCATATTACCTGAAGTTAAGATCAATATGTTTTAGCTTAAAATGCCTTTTTAACATTCAGATAAAGTCAACAAATTATTTGATTCAAATATCAGACCAGTAATGAGGATTGCTTGCTAATAATTGTGCCTCTCCTTTCCCTGTAGCTTGAAAATGAGTTTAGAAATGTCTATCTATGCAAGAAAGCGGTGTCAGAATATTCCAGAAGAAATTCTCCCATAGTCTTTCATATAGTATACCAAATGAGGCTATTACCTCACTGGGATGTCAACAGAGATGAGGAAGGACATTGAAACTCTGACTCAAGCCCAAGGGTAACCAGGGCTAAAATCCATAGTTCCGATCCATACAATGTCTTCCTGAAAACAAAAGGGGAAATATCACCCTTAATTAATTTCATGAAGTTGGCATGATAATTTATTTTATGAAGTTAGTGTTTTCCTAATAGGGAAACAGAGAAGTGAAGGCAGCACAAAACAACCACCCACTATCACTCATGCACACAGACGTCTTTAAACAATGTTAACAAATAAGATTAAATAAAATGTGAACAATTTCTATTTTGTAATCAACATATGTTTATTTCATGGCTACAAGTCTGTTCAGTGTTGAAAACTAGATTGATATAATCACTGCATTAATAGTCCAAAAACAGTCACTCAGCAAAAGTTAGCACTTACTTTGTGAAAATACTTTCAGCCATAAGGAGGAGAGCTTTTGAAGAGACAACGTACGTGCACAATGTACGTGCAATATATTTTATGCTTAGCTTTATAGTTAATAAAAGATGATTTTTCCTAAAAATGAGAAAAAGGCAAAATAAATTCTCTCTTACCACTTCAGCATAGCACTGGATCCAAACTCTCTCTAGACAGCACAATACACAAAGCAGAAATAAACAAAGAGAAAAAATTAATAGCATGTAATCAGAAGCAAAGTGGTTTATAGAATCATCTATGTAGAAAGCCCCAAGAAATCTACAACTTCATACTCATAGAACTAATAAGTTCAGTGAGATTATAAGATATAAAACAACCAGACAAAATTAAATTACAGTTCAATGTTTTATTAGTGAACATCGGAACCACAAAATTAAACATAATATTATTTGCAGACATACAAAAATTTGAAATATTCAAACATAATTCTAACAAGATAAACATAAATATATACATCAAGGACAAAAGAAATAAAATATGCAAGTAAATAGAGAGAAATGATAATTGGTAGGCACTACTTGGAATTGTTATGCAGGCATAGTGCTATGGAAATAAAAATGTATGTCTTAAAGATACAAACGATTTTTGTAGAGTTTCTATAGAAGATAAAAGGAACTCGTAGCTAATTCTTGGTAGTTTGCATAGGAGATTCTGTGAATTCTGCATGTGGGTCTACATTAACTCAAAATAAAACTTTTCTTTCTTTAAACTGGCTAGAGGAAGTTGATACACACAAAAATTATGGGCAGTACGTTCATCAACTATGAAGCCCAAACACATGTGGCAACTCCAGAATATCAGAATCACCCCTGACCTCCTTCCAAATGGAAAGAAGCTAAGTCGTGCAGAGCCAGAGTTTTTCCTCTCCTCTCCTCTCCTCTCTCTCCTCTCCTCTCCTCTCCTCTCCTCTCCTCTCCTCTCCTCTCCTCTCCTCTCCTCC